AAAAAAAAAAAAAAAAAAAAACAGTAAGCGGAGATCAGTGCTTACATCCATTTGGGGAGTATCAGCAAAGAAGCCTTGTAGAATCTTGGAGATTGACCTCACAATCAACTACTCACAGTTCAAACTTACAATCTTTTTGTTTTTTTAACTAGGACGATGAATTTATTTATGGAATAGAGAGGGGTCTATTAAAGTGGGTTTGCTTTTTTGTGATGAGTCAGTTGTTGATGACTTGATGTTGGGCTAACTTTAAAGATAAAGGAAGTGTGGGGTACCAAGGATTCAAAGAGATACTATTATGAAGTTGTTAAAAACACTAGTTAATGCCATAGAAGAAAAAAGAGGGAAAGCCAAAAGCCCAGATATCCAAAAACTATGAGAAATAGACGAGAGTAGGGGTGGACATAGTTTGTCCAAACCTAAATTCGAAATTTTTGGATTTTTGCTATGGATTTTGGGTTGCTCTAGCGGTGAGTACCCTCCACTTCCAATCAAGAGGTTGTGAGTTCGAGTCACCCTAAGAGCACGGTGGAGAGTTCTTGGAGGGAGGGAGCCGGGGGTCTATCGGAAACAGCCTCTCTACCCAAGGGTATTGGTAAAGTCTGCGTACACACTACCCTTCCCAGACTCCACTAGTGAGATTATACTGGTTTGTTGTTGGTTTGGATTTTGGATTTAATTTTTAAAATTTTTTGATTTCGGATTGGATATTGGATTTGGTACTTCGAATTTTTGGATATCCGAAAATCCAAATTTTTTATACTTTATATTTAGTCAATTATTCATATATCAATAGTACTCATATATTCAATATTAATTACTAAGTTACCGTAAGTATACCTTCTATTTGGACATTTTTTATTACTATTTCTACTTTTTACCGGCCGTATTAATGTCTCTATTGTATTTTTTTTATTATAATAATTTCATTACTTGAATACTTCATTTGGATGATTGCGGTGAAAATGAAGAACTTTTCAGACAATTTAACATGAGTAGAATAAACATCTTAAAAACTTATAAGCTCAAAATTAAAAATCCAAAATATCCAAACCGATTAATCCGAAATCGAATTTTAAAAAATTCGATCCAATCCGATTTAATTGGATTAAATTTGAATTGTCATTTATAAAAATTAAAAATCCAAACCAAAATTTTCATATGAAATCCGAATTACCTGAACGCCTACCCGAGGGACAGGCGAGGAGGTATGGGCAAATGGAAGGTGGGGGCTGATATAAGGTGAATAGCTTTATTTACTTTTAATTTATTGTTTGTTTGCACTTTGCTAATACTGTGTAGTGTGTGTATATTCCAAGATACCATACACAGGGATAATAAATTAAAGTTGGTCTTTTACTGAGAATTCTGATTCCACCCATCTCTAAGCAAAGGTCAAAAAGTAGCAAATACCACACACCCCGGTCCGTATTAAATAAAAGTTCTAAAAGTTGAAGTAGACTTTTTAACCCTACACGCCTCATGGTGGAATGCTTAGTGCCCCGTGCCCTATTTTTGCTAACTCACTCTGGAAGATAATTTAAAAAAAGTTGAAACAACAACCGATAAATATTAATAAAATAAAAAAAACTAAAAATAATAATATAATGTTCACCAAATAAAGGTGAAAACTACCTTATTCACTTATCACGGCACTTTACTCTTTTTATTCCCCTATTTGAATAAATTAAATATTATTTCCTCTTGTCCTATTTACTTGTGCTTTTGCTAAAATAGTTGTTCCATTGAAAACATAAGAAAGAATAAAAAACTTCAACCTTATTGTTACCAATCTAATAAAAGTTTTATAAAGAACTACTAATAAAATTAAAAGATCAAAGAATAAATAAGAACAAATTAGTCAAATAACTCTTGTTATTAATGTTCTTTTAATGGATATGCAAAAAGTGAAAATGAAATTTGAAGTTACTGTCTAATAACTAGAAGTTTATTCTGCATCTAACCAGTGTAAAACTAAAATCTTATCGTCGGACTTTCTTGGTCTTGCTACTCTTTTCTTTATGCGCATATCTTTTCCTTCTTTCAGAAAATTATAAAGAAGAAAAAATAATGTAATGGAGTTGGGAAAGTCAACTTATGGAAGGCAAAGGGTCAACATAGTACAGGACGAATTGGCAGGTTTGAATTATTGTAGTGAGACTAGAGAGCAGTCACAAGGGAAGCAGAGAGCAGAGCTTTAAATAGATAAAAACGAACCCAGGGTTTGAAAAATAGAGAAACACAGAAATGAATTTAGAGAAAGTTTCAATCACCCAAGCTGTTTTCAGGACCTCGTAAATCCTTTGTTTTAGGCCACCAGGGTTCAAAAAAATTTAAATGTAGAGTTAGCAAAGATTCTCGAGAAAAGGAAGATTAATATGATTTGTGTACAAGAGACTAGGCGGGTAGCAGATAAGTCGCGGGATGTGGGCAGTTTCAAACTTTGGTATTCTGGGAGGATGGGAGGCAGGAACGGGGTAGGTATCTTGGTTGATAAGGACCTCCGTGAACTAATGGTGGAAGTTAGGAGGGTGAATGACAGACTGATGACTATTAAGCTAGTTGTAGGAGGTTTTACCTTGAACATAATCAGTGTGTACGCACCCCAAACAGGCTTGGATGAGGAAGTCAAGAAGCGGTTCTGGGAGGATTTGGATAAGATGGTGCATGGTATCCCGCATACCGAGAAGCTTTTCATAGGAGGAGATTTCAACGGCCACATTGGAGCGACGTCTGGGGGGTGATGATGTGCATGTTGGCTTTGGTTTTGGAGATAGAAACGGAGGAGGAACGTCTCTGCTAGACTTTGCTAGAGCATTTGATTTGGTGATAACAAATTCGAGTTTCCCGAAGAAGAGGAGCACTTGGTCACCTTCCGGAGCTCGGTGGCTGAGACTCAGATTGATTATTTACTCTGCAGAAAGTCCTATAGAGGTCTTTGCACGGATTATAAGGTCATCCCGAGTGAGAACCTCTCGACCCTTCATAGGCTCCTGGTCATGGATCTTAAGATCACGAGGAAGAGGAGGAAGATGACGATGTATAGCCAACATATGATCAAGTGGGGAGCCTTGACGGAAGCTAAAGCGCAGGAGTTGGGGGACAAGTTGGTGACTATGGGGGCTTGGAGGAGTAGTGGGGATGCAAGCGCTATGTGGACCACGACTGCGTAGTGCATTAGGGAAGCCGCAAGAGAGGTATTAGGGGTCTCAAAGGGTCACTATGGTGGTCACAAGAGAGACTGGTGGTGGGATGAAAAGGTACAAGGAAAAGTGAAAATCAAGAAAGCAGCGTATCTGAAACTAGTGAAAAGTGTAGACGAGGAGGAGAAGAGGGCGAATAGGGAGCATTATAAGTTGGCTAAGAAAGAGGCAACACTAGCAGTTACGGCAGTCAAGACTGCAGATTTTAGTCGTTTGTATGAGGGACTCGATGGTCGAGGTGGGGATAAAAGGTTATTTAGGTTAGCCAAGGCACGAAAAAGGAAGGCGCGTGACTTGGACCAAGTGAAGTGCATCAAGGACGAAGAAGGTAGAGTTTTGTTGGATGAGGGGCTTATCCGTCGGAGATGGAAGACCTACTTCCATAGTCTCTTGAACGAGGAGGGGGACATGAGCATTATACTGGGTGATTTGGAACTCTCTGGGAGTCGTTATGACTTTGGGTATTGTAGGCAGATTAGAGTTGATGAAGTTGAGGGGGTTATGCGTAAGATGAGGAGGGGCAAAGCGACCGGACCGGATAAAATCCCGTTGGAGTTTTGGAAGAGTGCGGGCAAGGCAGGCTTGGAGTGGCTCACTAGGTTATTTAATGCCATTTTTAGAATGAATAAGATGTCTGAAGGGTGGAGGTGGAGCACGATGGTTCTTGTATACAAGAACAAGGGTGATATCCAAAATTGCAATAACTATCGAGGTATCAAGCTGCTTAGCCATACTATGAAAGTATGGAAGAGAGTGGTAAAGCTAAGGGTGAGGAGGAGTGTGTCTATTTTCGAGAACCAGTTTGGATTTATGTCGGGACGTTCGACTATAAAATCCATCCACCTTGTTAGGATATTGATGGAGCAGTATAGAGAGAGAAAGAAGGACTTACATATGGTGTTCATCGACTTAGAAAAGGCGTACGATAAAGTTTCGAGGGAGGTTTTGTTGAGATGTTTGGAGGCTAGAGTTGTACATATTGCCTACGTTAGGTTGATTAAGGACATGTATGAAGGAGTAAAGACCCGAGTGAGGACGGCGGGTGGGGACTCAAACCATTTTTCAGTGATGATGGGGTTGCATCAGGGGTCGACACTCAGCCCTTTTTTGTTTGCTATGGTAATGGACGTACTGACGCGACATCCAAGAGGAGGTGCCGTGGTGCATGCTATTTGCAAATAATATTGTATTAATTGTCAAGACGTGAGACAGTGTGAATGCGCAATTAGAGGTATGAAGGCAGACCGTGGAATCTAAAGGTTTCAAGTTGAGCAGGACCAAGACATAATACTTGGAGTGTAAGTTCAGTAGCGAGACTCAAGGAGGGGAAGGGGAGGTGAGGCTGGACTCGCAGGTCATCCCTAAGAGAGGGATTTTTAAGTACCTCGAGTCTATTATTCAGGGGTATGGGGAGATTGATGAAGATGCCACACATCGTATTGGGGCGGGATGGATGAAATGAAGACTCACTTCAGGTATTTTGTGTGATAAGAAGGTGCCACTGAAACTTAAGGGTAAGTTCTACAAAGTGGTGGTCAGACCAATGATATTGTATTAGGCTGAGTGTTGGCCAGTCAAGATCGCTCATGTTGAGAAGATGAAGGTAGCGGAGATGAGGATGTTGAGATGGATGTGCGGGCACACCAGGTTAGATAGGATCAGAAATGGGGTTATTCGCGACAAGGTGGGTGTGGCCCCTATTATTGAGGACAAAATACGGGAAGCGCGACTTAGGTGGTTTGGTAATGTGAGGAAGAGAAGCATAGACGCCCCAGTGAGGAGGTGTAAGAGGTTGACATTGGAGGGCCTACATAGAGGTAGAGGTAGGCCAAAGAAGAGGTGGGGAGAGGTGATTAGGCAAGACATGGCACAACTTCAGTTGACCGAGGACATGACTCTTGATAAGAAGGTATGTAGGTCGAAGATTAGGGTAGTAGAGTCGGTAGTTTAGAGTGTTCATAACAGTAGTATTGGCACGCAGTCTCGCTTTCTGTTGGTAGTAGGTTTTTAGGCCTAACCGTTGTTTTCTTTCATTGTTGATCACTTTACTGTCTTGTTGTTTTTATTCTGCTTTTATATGGCTTTATGGTATTGTCCCTTCTTGTCTATATTTTCATTAATGTGGTGCTTATACTTTCCTAAGCCGAGGGTCTATTGGAAACAACCTCTCTATCCTCATAAGGTAGGGGTAAGGTTTGCGTACATACTACCCTCCCTAAATCCCACAGTGTGGGATAATACTAGGTATGTTGTTGTTGTTTTAAATATTATTTTGGCTTAGATAATTATTAAAATTCGTAGAAAAAAAATACAAAATCTTTATTAAGAAAGATAGTAATACATTTTATTGTAAGAATATTTTAGAACTTCAAATTAAACTACTCAAATCTTCCTATTAGTAAATAATATTTTTTACAACAAGATCCAAGATAACATATCGCAAACATTTCTAGAAGGAATGGACTATACTTCACCTATATATATATATATATATATATGTAGGTATCATAGAGAACTAAGTGTGTTTTAGAAGAAATGAATCAGACCTTCATGATACCATACAATATATGATATATACCATGTGGGTATCGTAGAGGATTAATGATTTTTTTTTAAAGAAATGAACCAGACCTCTATGATACCCTGTCAATATATGATATATATCATGTGAGTATCATAGAGGACTATGGGTATTTTTTTTTGATTGTTGAAGAAATGAATCAGTCCTCTATGATAACATATCAGTATATAATATATATACAATGTGGGTATCATAGTATAATGCAATAATATGCTTCAACTGCTAATAATATATATTTTTTTGTATACTATATGCTAGGATAACTTATTTTTTTGTAATTAATATAGGAAAAAATAAAAATAAATAAGGATATATACTATATCAATTATCTTGTTTTATTGATATAGTAAAAAAGGAAAGAGAAAAAAAAATAAAAAGAATAAAAATAAAGGATCCAAAAAGGTGTGCAAAACTAGATTATGAAAAATAATAAAAAAAAAAATTTAAAATAATAAATGAAATTAGAAAAGAAAAAAATAAAAAGAAAACAAAAGGAAAAAAGAGAAGAGAAATAATTATAATATATAACTTGTTCTAATAACTGAATTGAAAAATAAATAAGAAAAAGAAAGACAAAATGCATATTATATCACTTATATTTTTTTTAAAAGGTGAATGAATATTTACTATATCAGTTATTTTTCTATTGTGTAAAAAATTTATATACAAAAATAGCAAAAAAAAGTCTATGGAGAGAAAAAGAGAAAATAAAAGAAAAATTATTTTAAAAAAATTAGAATGGAACACTAAATAAAGAAAATACAAAATAAAAAATAAAAAGTTTAAAAACGAATCACATAAAGGAGATAAAATTAAATGTGGAATTTATTATGCTAAGAATATAAAGAATACGATTAGCGCAAAAAATAAACGAAAAGAAAAGGAGAAACAGAAAAAATTAAAGAAAAAATGAGAAAGAAAAGAAGGAGAAAAGAAATGAAGCAGAGAAATAAAACAGAAAAGAAGAAAAAGCAATAACCCACAAAGCTACACTGAGGAGAAAGGGTAATTAGTTTGGTCGTAGAAAAGTAAATGCATAAGTAAAAGTAATTATTTTGATTTTTGTGGGTAATTATGTTATTTTTTCATTATTTTTTGGTCGTGCGGATGACCAATGGATTTTACCTGGGTTTACTCAAATTCCAATAGCTCAGTTGAAATCTGAGTTTGACTTTACATAATACTGCGAGAACGTCTTGGGAATTGCCCTCTTGCTACACCTACATTGAGTCACTTGTGAAATTGTGTTAAAAAATAGCTTTTCTTTTAGGACATTTGAGACTGTTTTCAATAAGTTGTCATCTTATTACTAGAAAAATAAAATAAATTTTACTTAACTCGCATAATTTCTAAAAAATAAAGAAACAATATCTTATTCACCCTTTGAATGCATATAGAATCTCAATAAACTTCAAAATCATAAAAGTCATGATTTGTCTAGTAATTACAATTTAACTATATGAGGCGCTAGGCATTGCACATACTTAAGGTACATCATTAGAAGGTTGGAGTATAAGTGTCACGATACAAGCGCGTCCTGCGTAGTCTTCCGTATCTTTTTTAGCATTATTTTCGTTTCGTTTTGCATGCTTTTAAAATGAAGAATTATGCTACCAAATAGCAAACCTTTCTCTAAGCGCCCTATCCATCGCATGATAGACTTTGGACATTCACTTTAGAGTTTAGAACGTAAAGAAATTAGGTGAAATAGCATCTCAATTTGAATCTTCCTCTTATCTATGTCTAATACAGTTCCATTAAAGGTTGTAATGAGTTAATAAATACATCTCTACTCTTAGTTTTGGTTGTGCTTAAGATATTTATTTAGCTTTCACAATATACAAAAAAAAAAACGTATTGGATTTGACTATTTCTAACCTAGTAGTCTCTTTATGTATACCATTCCCTTTGTGAGCACCTAATTTTTGACTATATTTAAATTTTTGTCACCTTCTACTATGTAAATATTTTTAGGGGTTTAATCTACAGTTTTTAGCTTTGTTACACCTTTTTTATAGGATAAAAATTAAAAATAATTTAAAAGGTCAATTATTCCTATTAATATTATTTTTATTTTTAGCTTTATTTTAAAATAAAAATAAAACAAAAATTTAAATAAATTTTTTAAAATTTCGGGTGGAATAAAAAAAGGAAAAGGGGAAGTAGGGAATTAAAAAACAAAAGTAAAATAAAGTGGAAATTTAAAAAAAAGAAATGTAAATAAAGTGAAAAATAAAAAAAAATAAAAGTAAAGGAAGGTGGGGAATATTAAAATGGGAAGTGAGAATTTTTTATTAAAAATATTAATTAAAAAATACAAAAAGAAATCTGAAAATATTCGAATTTTTTTCTATAAATAGAAGAGAAAAATGGGAGAAGAAGAGAGAAA